AAGATATTCTTGACTCCTAGCCCATAGGCATATGTTATGAGTCAGGGTGGAGTGTAGAAAATGTTTCTTCTAGGTATTTTAAACAGAAAAGGATTTAATACAGAGGTTTAAGTGCTTATAAATACAGTTGGCCCCTGATACCATGGGTTCCTCATCTGTAGATGAACCAACCACAGACTGAAAATATTTGGGGAAAAAACCCAATAAATAATACAACAAGAAAAATGTACCAATAAAAATAATACAGTAAAACCACTATTTACATAGTATTTATGCTGCATTTTTTTTTGTTTTTTTTTTTTTTGAGATGGAATCTCTCTTTGTTGCCCAGGCTGGAGTGCAGTGAGGTAATCTTGGCTTACTGCAACCTCCGCCTCCTGGGTACAAGCAATTCTCCAGCCTCAGCCTCCCAAGTAGCTGGGATTACAGGAGTGCACCACCATGCCTGGCTGATTTTTGTATTTTTAGTAGAGACAGGGTTTCATCATGTTGGCCAAGCTGGTCTCGAACTCCTGACCTCAAGTGATCCACCTGCCTCAGCCTCCTAAAGTGCTGGGATTACCGGCCTGAGCCACCGTGCCTGGCTTGCATTAGGTTTTGTAAGTAATCTATAGATGACTTAAAGTATACAGGAGGATGTGCATAGGCTATATGCAAATGCTATGCCATTTGCCATTTTATGTAAGGGACTGGAGAATCTGCAGATTTTGTTATCCCTAGGGATCCTGGAACCAATCCCTGCCCAGATACTGAGGGACAACTGTAAGTGGAAAAACTGTAAGGTAGTAGACTACCTCCAGAAATGACTCCTGGAACAATATGGTAGAGCTGATTATCAGGGGAATCACCCTTGAGTTTGTCTCTGAAATTACTGCAGAGAGCAGGAAGCCACACTAGGAAGTTGCTGATACTGTTGGTACCATCACTACAGCACTTGACCACCTCTTGACATTCACAGAATTGGTGATTTGGCACTGGAACATGAATCTTCAAACCTAAGAATCACAATAGACTCTAGAACACTGCAGCTAAAAGACTCTCCATGAGCTTGCTTGCAAGAAAAAGTCACCAAAAAGAAGTAGGAAGATGGCTTCTGCTTCAATTTTTTTTTCCTTCAGATCTTTCAAGAACAAATCTAATAGATGAAATGTAATTCATATCCAGAACTTAGCTGTGAGGAAGTCTAGAAAATGTAGTTGTTGGTTTTCCTGCTCCTTCATACAAGGAGGAAGCTGGAACAGAAATTGAGCAAGCCGATCTACATTTGCCACAGCAAGCTTAGTGTGTGTTCATTCAAAATGTTGGCAAAAATAACGAACAGGCCAGAACCATGTGGCACAGCAGTAGAAATGGTTGCCAGATGGATATCATTACTAATATTCAAGTAAGTTTGAATGGTTATAATTGGTCATGGTTATAATTGGCAGAGCTGAGACTTCAACCTAGGTCTGACAAGAATGCTGTATTGCCTTTCAATTTGATCAGCAGCTTAGAATTCATCTACTCTTATTTCTGCCTCCCCCAACCTCCAAAGCTATGAAAGGGTATTTTTCTAGGATCCTCTCCTGATTTACCAATCCCAATGAAAAAGAGATGCAGTTTGCCTTTCCTAGGGTATGTGGGGCATCCATGATAGTTTTAGCAATCACCATGTGACTCTAACATTCCCAATCCTGCTTAAAACCTTCTAGCAGCTATGTTGGCTAGAATTGGGATTTGTGTTGAGTGACAGAGACTCAAAATAGACTCAAAATAAGTGTGAGTTAAACCAGAAAGAAATTTATTTCTCTCATGTAAAACACATCCACAGGTAAGCAGTCAGGACTGCTTGGGCAGCTTCCCTCCCAAAGTCATCAGGCCTTGGGCTCCTTGTATCTTGTTGCTCAATCATACTCAGCATGTGTCTTTAACATGAAGTCCAGGAGGGCTGCTTGAGTTATAGCCATCACATTTGCATTCCAGCCAGCAGAGAGGAAGGACAAGAACACTGCAAAAGAAGTAGCACCCAAACCTTTTGGTTACATCTCTTTGAGTACTTGGTAAATGTCTCCACCTAACTGCAAGGGAAGTTGGCAGCTGTAGCCTTTTGGTCAGATGGCTGTGTGCTCAGCTAAAAATCAAAGACTTTTACAGTAAGGAAGAAGGGGAGAATGCATACTACTGATAAATATCCATCTCTGCTATAGTGACCTCATTGAATCCTGCAAAGACATTCACTGTGTCTTTTTCATTATATTGCAAGATTTCAAAATGGCAGGTGTCTTCTCTAGCACCTTGTACAGAGACTGACATATTTTAGGCACTTTATCATCTCTTAAAAAAAGGTCCCATTTTTATTTTGACGAAATTTTAAGTGATTTAAATATAAATATGACTAGAGTATAACTGTATGAAATGTGCTTGAAAAGCTGTGTGGAAAACAAAATTTTGTATTTAAATCTTCGTTCTTCTAATACATCAGGGTATTTCTATGGAGAGAAGGGAGGGAAAAGGATTCAAGTAATTTGGAGGAAAGTTACAAACTACAGGTAAATCTAAAAGCAACAAAAATGAAAAAGAATCGTTGACATATAAGGATGGGAGGTTAAAAAGAAAGAAAGAACTCCACAAAAATCAAACTCAATTCTAAATTTAAAACCAGAATGAAAATTTCAAAGAAGCAACCAGATCACACAACTGCAGTAGGTACATTGTGAACACATATCTTTATAGCATAATGGTATGAAGTAGGATTTGAAATTAAGATAATCCTGGCTCTTCCTGTTATTATGTTACTTCCACCAGTTAATCTCTGAATTAAATTTTCTCACCTGAAAAATAAGATTCGCTAAAAATTGTTACAATGAGGACATGAGAATATATGCAAACTATTTAACACTGGGTCTAATGCAAAGAAATACTCTATATACCACAGTAATATCACTCTCATGATACATTTTATTTATGACTATCTTCTCCTCTCCAAGAATTAAAAATCAAATTTTCAAAAATGTAGTCTTTTTGTTTTCGTTCGTTCTTCTAAGCAGATTACAGTAACAGGACTGGCCTACATATTTTTAAAATTTCAGATTGTGAAATATTGATGTGATCCCATCCATAAATTTATAATTTTAATTATTTAAAAATTCATTTATAACAATGCATGTCAAAATAAATCTGTACTTCAGATTTAACAAAATAAAAAGTTTGGTCTCATGCTGTAGGAGCTGAGGCAACTTGCATTTATGATACTCAATAATACCTGATTTTTCAGCTCATAGTGGGAAGGCAAGATACCAGTTAACAGTTAACACCAGTAAACTTATACTTAGTTCAGAAGATTTCAAATTCTTTTCTTCTACATTGTGTATTATACATATTGTTGGCACTTAACAAAGAACATGTACTTAACGCTTCATGATTGTAAGCCCCTCAAATGTGGGTACAAGATCTTATACATCTTACCTAGCTATTTTTTGCAGTGACTGCTACTGGTTGCCTCCCAAAGGGCAAGTCCCTAATACCTTCCCTAGGTGATGGAACTCATTTAAGATGAATGACTACATGCTCCAGGAAATGGGCCCCTCTCTTACCTATAACGCATTAATTAAGGATCTAAGCTAAGTAATTGGCCTTAGGGTGAGCCTTTGTCTCATACAATGAGACTAATAGAGTGTGTGTATGGAGTGCTTAATGGAAGATTCTGAGATTTTTTTCTCTCTGATAAAAGGCTATGAGGACTGCTTACTATCCTGCTTGGGATGTTACATCTGAGCTGTGGCAGTCATCTTGTGACCATGAGGTAAAAGACACAGCAAAGCAAAGCTGAAGATGATGGAACAGAAACACAGAAAAACAGGATCCAGTGCCTGTAAACAATAAACCATTCAATGAACCCTTGAATCTCCTCTAACATTGTTAAGCGAAAAGTAAGTGTCCTTATGGTTTAAGCCAGTGTTGGGTTTTCAATTACTTGCAACCAAAATCACCTCAGGTGTTATACAGTATTTTTACCCCCAGAATTTTTTACTGGTTGGCTCTATGCACTGGTTCTTATGTTTGCCTGCTCTGACATTTTACCCTTCCATGTCATTTAGCACTGAGGATCCTAAGATACTTATTTTATAGTAGTATCTAGGTAGTTCATTACTTTCATTTTCTTGAGTGATTGCCTTTCTTAGGATTAGTTCCATTTTCTTCAAGTACTTTTGAATGTTGATTTGCAGGCTCAGCTTGCATGGCAGCCTTCCTGCTCTTTACCTCTCCCTTCCTAATCTCTGCTCCTTTCCTTTTGTAATTGCTTCTACCACCTGTTCAAACTGAGGGCTCCAGATCTGTGGTGACAGTGGAACTATCACAGATCTACCAAGATCTATGTAAACAGAGGAGTAGGCTGTTTGACTCAAAATCTGTCTACAATATAAATTACAGTCCCAGGCACTGGTTGTTGTTGCTTCTCAGTTTCAAGAGCGAGGAAACTCCATTCAAGACCCTGATTTCATTACTTTGCAGGAGCTGACATTTCTGGCTACTTCAGTCTGCTTCCAGACCTATAGCCCGGGTTCTGGCTTACAAATTCATTACACTTACCGGTTTGTTATTTCTGGTACTTGGAAATGTCTATACTGCTTCTGAACACAGCTATGCTTTAAATTTTTCTCATTTTCTATTCAAAGCTCCAGAAATATACTTACCTAGGTACTCCATAGGCTAACATTTAAAAATAAACACTATGTGAAAGAGAAAAAGATGGCTTTTTGGACAACATAAAGTTCTGTGCCATGCACCATTCATTGGTAATAATCCTAAGTGAACAGCAGAGTTCTGATGAGTGAAATAAGATCTGTGCATTCTTCTGGATTAATAGCACACAGCAGATCAGCAGCTCTGTTCTGCCTTCTGCTGATTTTTATTCACTCCCTAAAGTTCATGACATCAAAGGAAGAATAACACTGGGTCTGTTTAAAAAATGTGTTGCCTATATAAAATATGTCCCATAAAACACCTTCAGATCCAGTCAGTTTAATATAAAATGTTTTTAATTGTTTTTGAAAACATTTAAAAAACAATTTTTGAGCACTTTTAATAAAAAAAGAGAACTGAAATGCTACCGCAATATTCAACTACTGTAGTTTCAGCAGGTACAACAGACAACAAAACACTGGGGAAATCTGACTTTTTGCACTAAATGAAACATGAAACAGGGCTTGTTTTTGTCATTTATCGTGTAGTAAAGCACATTATAGTACAAGACTATTATATGAACCTCAGATGCACTGCACAAAAAACACTTTCCTTCTTTTCAGTTCAAAAGTCAGTGCTTATTGCAATTATATGCAAAATTATTTACTTCATGAAGTCTTATGATAAACAGTATGCAAAATGTTTTAAACATCAAAACAATAAAAATAATCTGGAACAGAACATATTCAACAATAACTAAGCAGAATTAGTAAACATAAAGTAAATAACCTGTGAATAACTATGTTTGCCTGGTTAACACTGAACCAGTTTCAATACAGCGAAGAAAAAAAAAAGAGTGGTTACAGGAATCCTAGTACTGTACAAGATAAGTCAGTAACACTCATGCACATTTTGTGATCATGTATTAACATGGTGAAGCAAACTAAACTTAATTCTTCCTGCTGTAATATTCTCATGTAAGAGAATAATAGAAATATCTCATTGAGATCAATGCACATTGCTACATAAGACAATTTTATCTGTCACTTTGATGACATTTTGTCTTTTCATAATGAAACACATTTAAAAAGTTTAATCTGTGGACTGTATTGGTTGCATTTATCCTAAGAGATGTGCCTACCACAGGTTCAACAAATTTAGTGCAATATATGAACCCCAGAAAGTTTGCTGGACGAATTCAACCAAATTTAAAGAGTTTGCTGCAATACTGTACAAGGGGTTAAAAATCCTCCAGTCTTAATATTTTTATCAAAAAAGATTTCCATTATTTTTATATTAGTAGGAAGCTAATAATGTAAACAAGGGATTAGAATGGCCTCAAAATCTCCTTTTCAGAGTATCTCATAAAGAAAGGCTCCCATCATTTGTTAGAAGAAATCACACAGTTTCCTTTGGGTATTGCATACTTTGGTGTGCAGTAGTGCTGTGTCTCAATGTACAGTGAGGAAATAACTAGCATCAAGAAAAAAATACCTAACAAATCATGAAATCAAGATAACAGCAAACAAACACACACAAATGCCAGTAACTAAGACATATCAATATATAAACCTCTGCGCCAACTCTAGCACCATTTTTTATCAAAATATGTTAATACCCTACCTTGCAAATTTATTGAACAACAAAACCTTATTAAACCCTTCAGCACATTTGCTAAATATTCATTGATTGTAGTCTTCTGATTGGCTTACTAAGGTAAAGGAAAGCTTAGCTAGGTTCAAGGTAGCATAGCAAATGGTTTTACGTTAGCTTTAAAAACAATGGCAATTTAACAATCTCTTTGAAAGTGATCTTGAAACTCACTTAAATGGAGCTTTCAACCAGTGAGTAGGTTTGTGTCAACATGCAACTCATAAATAATTATTCACAAAACAAAATGGGAGCCATAGAGAGAAACATTTTAAAACAAATCCTGAGTTCTTATTTTGCAATTGTGGTTATCACAATAAATAAATTAAGCAAGTAATAAAATGCTCCTCTTCTTCAAGTACTGTTGATATCCCCTTTGTTTCATCAGAGATATAAAGATTTGTGGCTTCAGACCTTAGGTGGTGAAATGTTTTTTGTTGTTTTTTATGTTATCCTCCTTCCTGTTTTTCAAAGGGATCCTATGATCAAACTACATTACTATATTCAGGAGTGAGGGAGTCACTCAGTTGAAGAGGAAAAAAACATTATGGTGGAATATTTTAACGAAAAATTTCAAAGTAAATCTCAATTAGAATCTCAGTATGTACATGCAGCCATTGTGATGAAACTAAGAGAATGCTTTTGTTTTCCTTCTCATTCCCCTAACTAACAAATAATAAAACATAAAGCATTTTTCTAACATGCTTGTATTTATTATATTAAATTACAAATGCCTGGAGTTACATTTACTTGTTTTGTGTGTGCGTGCCTGCGCATCTATGTGTGCTAGCTCCATATTAAAATCAACATTTAAAAATAATGCAAGGTCACAAATATAAATGGCTACTTGTTTTTTTCTCTTAAAAATTTTAGTGCAGCTTTGCTTTCCTTAAAGTAATATTTAATTTTCCATTATTTTCTATTTAAGCCCTTCATCGTGGGTGTAAATGGTACTGAAGCCCCAGAAAGTCCTACAGAGATTTTTCATCCTACAGTAGCTCTATGCTTCAAGCCTAAATATTTTATAATAACCTGAATATTGTCCCTGTTTCAAGGAAGACTTTCTTGTCTACAGTTCACCTTAGCTATGATTTTATATCTAAAAGATAATGCCAACAACAAAATAGCCTATACCTAAAATTGATGGTTTATTCTGAGTTCTGTGCAGATCATCTGATGAAATGAAACTTATACAAAATAAAGATTGACTGCTCTTGTAACAGCTGGATAGTCAATCAATGTGAATAAATGGGGCATATTATAAAATTTAAAACCTAATACTTGTTCTTCTACAGCCTACTGTCTTTAGACACTTGTTAAGAACTGAGGCAAGTCTAACCATTTCCTACTGAAGAAACCACTTCTGCAGCAAACGCTTTTAAAATGTCACAATTAATAGTATTTCTGCTGCGGGAGGCACTTCCATTAAGACAAATACAATACATATGTCTTTAGATACAGTGTGCTACATATTATAAAACACAATTTAACCCAACATTTCAACAGTAGGATGGTCCTTGCTTTCTATCCATTCAAAACCTGATGAAGTCATAGAATTCATGGATTCACTGCAAATTTGTTGAAATAATGGGTCATTCTTTAACTCTTCCAGTGTAGCTTCATCATCTTGTCCCTGCTGACGACCTGGATCAAACAGTAGATTTGGGTCTAAAGTGTTCAAATCATTGATGCTGCCTGAGAGCTCAGAAGACAACCTGATATCACTAGAGAAATCAGATGCAGTATTAGTGAGATCAGATGCTACCTGACCTACCAGCTGCTGGCTGGTTTGCAAGCTGTCTCCACTCAACAGGTCTTTAACAGTGCTATTGAAATCTAACTGCTGCTCTCCAATTTCTGATTGTGCTTGATTATCTCCAGGAGAAAAATTGATCTGATCGGTGCTATTACTTTTGGTGAGGTAAGATGGTGTTTGGAATTCATAAACAGAAGTGCTGGAATCAATCATATTTTGTGGGTTGGCACTAGGAAAAACAGTGGAAGGTTCCAAAATCTGAGTGAGATTCATCCGGGCTGTATAATTAGAGGGCAGGTTGTTCATTCCCAAACCTCTCACTGCATCATCATTGTCAGAATCAAGTTTACTCAACAAAACATTGGTTATTTTTTTACTGTTTGCTTGCTTCTGAAGGGCGTTTGGGAAGGCTGTCTGCATCATGACTGTCAATGGAACTGACTGGCTTCTTTGAGCTATGTTGTTGGCACATGCATCTGTGTGAACATTTGTGAAAACAACTTCTGGGGTAACTGGACTTCCAAAGGGGGTCACATTAGATCGTGGGATATTAGATACTGGATAGAGGGTGCTTCCACTAAGATTACGTTGGCGATGAACAGCAGGGCTCACACTCCGGCATCTGAAGTTGCTGCTGGCAGACGAATTAGTTCCCTTATTATCAAGAGGGGCAGGGACTGCAAAACCCTCCTGTTTGTTGGTGTTATTTACAGTGGCACCTTGATGCTGCACAGGAGAGACAGGAGTCAAACGACCAAAATGAGTGTCATGATGTCTGGATTGAGACTGATAAGACTGTCCAGGCACAGCAAAAGCATGAGGTTTCCTGAAACGGTCTTCCACTAGTTCCTGATAGCTTGGGAGAATACCATGGCCAGAAACTGATGAATTACCAACCCCACTATACCCATTATTCATCCATTCAAGCTTGGTTTTGTCAGGGTGTGTGGCCATGGGTCTTTGCATCGGTTTCACAGGACTACTTGAGACAATGCTGGCATCATGATATGCCATACTGGAGCTTATTGGAGTAAATGCAAATGGATTCCTGCATTCAACAGGGCTGGGGGGGACACTACTGCTGCAGTTAGAATGTGGAGTACCAATGGGTGTATGTCGGCTACTTCCTAAAGCACTATCCACAGGTGTAGTCTGGGCTAGCCTGGAGCAAGGGCTCTCCCGTGATAGACTCTGAGATCCAGCAATCATTTCAGATGTTGGGGTTGGGGTTGGGGTTGGAGTAGGAGTGGGTGTGGGTGTAGGTGTGGGTGTGTGGATTGGAGTGCCATTGCTGTGGATTGGATGATAGAAGTGGGTGCTGGAGGTGTGAGATGACATTGGAGCTCCTGGAGTTACTGACTGACTCTGAAGGGTCATTCCCAAACAGTTGCCGTAAGAATGAGAATTGTTCATTGACATTTGCTGCTCCATAAGCACCAGCTCTTCCACAATACTATCTTGTGTAAGTTCATCATCAAAAGGAAAGTAGCTTTCATTTGTCTGGGAAACAGAAGGTTCAAACTCCTTCAGTTCAGATTGCAGAGGTAACTGATCTGAAGAATGTGCTTGTATTTGATTTAAAGAAGATTCCTGTATCTGGCTATGTAGCTGCTGGCTATATGTGTCCTGTGGCATTCCTTCTAATTCCCACACAGACTTCTCTAAGTCATTGATATCAGAGTGCTCAGGAATTGTCATAACACTGATAGCTTGCTGTTGTTCACAGCTGGCAGATATCAACTCAGAATCCTTAGTGATTTGTTGCCATCCATTTGGATTAAAGCTGCCAACTGACTTTGAATCACTGTCCAAGAGAAAGACACTTCCTTCAAGTTTTACTTTTATATCTGGAGATGATGATGGGGTTGTTTGCTGTTCCAAAGCTGAATCACTGATAACAAGGGTAGAAGAATTCAAGGGTTGATTTGCTCCTGTGTGTGAACTGACATTTACTGATACCTTGCTAGGAATCTGAGCACCTGCTGTTGAACCTTCTGTTTTCCCTGAATGTGGAACCTTTTGGTCCTTCTTAACACTGCCTTGTTTCTGCCCTTCTATGGTAGCTGCTGAAAGCTGTTCCACAATTGGTTTCTTTACAGGAGGCACCTGGGTCTCTTGCAATGTAGAAGACAGTCGTTTTCTTGGACTTTTAGTGCATAATTTAGGGTCTTTATTGATTGAGTCACCATTAGATGGTGAACTGGTGCTGGTGAAAGTTAAGTTCTGAGAAGCAACTGATAGAGTGATAGTGCTCTGATTATTGCCTGTTGATGTGCCTGGCAGAATTTCATTACAGCGACTTTTACATTTGGTCCTCTGGTCACAGACCTTAGTTGCTTTTATTTCAATGACACCTTCATTTGAAGGTTTCTGCAGTACTCCGTCTGTATTACTTTTCTGCCCCAAAAGGGCACTAGGTGTTTGGGGAGCTTTAGCCTCATCAGAGTTCTCTTGGCACTGTACAGGATGCTCATCCGATGATGTTTCGGGTTCCACTTTGACTTCCACAGCAGATGTTCCCCCCGCACTGCTGGTTCTGGACCCAGGAGACTGAAGTGACACGACAGAACCATTCTTGATCTGTGGAACACTCCTTGATTCTTCTGCCGTTCCTGTAGCACTGCTGACTGAGGCAGAATGTTTAAGAGGGGTGTTACTGTTGCTGGGTGTGAGGGATATTGTTGTCATTTTCACCACATTTAGAGAACTCATGTGTGAAGCGGGTACAACGGCAGTTTTGATGGGACTACTAGTAAAGAGGACAGTAGTTGGAGAGCGAATGGTGAGTGCACTGGTGTTGGCTGGTTTGGGTAAGATCTGAGGGTAACGGTGCCGGGCAGAACGATCCCCACCAGGACTGGCTGGAACGTTCTGGGGAGTCTTTGGTGCCTGTTTCACAGACTGCATGTGCTGAGTGACCACCTGTACATTGAGGGGAAGAACTTTGCCGTCAGAAGAACTCATTGGACTTGGTGAAGTTACCAATTGCCTAGTCCGCTGGACCTGTTAAAAGACAGCAAAAAATCAGATTTAACAGGTCTAGGCTGTAAATAGTAATTCATGTATCTGTATATACTTTTAAGGCATTCATTAAATGTTAATGTTAAAAAGAAAAAAGTTCCTATGTTAGAAGAGAGTTCTAGACCAGGTTCTACACAATCAGACACATAAATATAACAAACGCAACCATAACGCATTATAATTAAAAAATATGTAAGAACATCATTAAGTCACTTTTCAGTTAACAAGACTACAAGCTTCACACTTGTGAACAATATTTGCTAAAGCAATGATTTAAGGGGGTTACAGGAAGAAGACATAAAATCTTGAAGAAACATATAACTGTAAAGGTTACCTACCAGAATCTATGCTAAGATGGCTCACTCATAGGGGAAATTGTCTTATAAATGTGTCTACCTTAAACGTCTGTAACTAAACCACTGCAAATAAGATACAACTAATATCTACCCCAGTTTGCCCTATAGTGAACAGTGTGGTTACCATGTATTTCATATTTTAATAACATGATGATAATACGAACAAGAAAAACGATAAAATATTTCCTAAATATTATTATCAATAATAACATAAAGTACCAACTTACTCTCATTTTAAAAGTCCCTTCATCATAACCTCAGTTGTGTAAGATAGAAAAACAGGAGATTGTTTCCTTATCTACAACTAGAGGTTAATAAACTAGCTAAAGAATTTGGCCAAGGTTCTAGTCATGTATCCGATAAGCCATGGATAGGCCTACATTTAAGTATTATCATTACACAATAGAATTTTGCTCCACCTGAATGTAAAAAAGAAAAGCGTTTAACTTTTAAATAAAGTTTGCAATTAAATTATCTTGGCTTGGCTGGGTGGGTTGGCTCACACTTATAATTCCAGTACTTTGGGAAGCCAAGGCGGGTGGATCACTTGAGATCACGAGTTCAAGACCAGCCCGGCCAACTAAAAAATACAAAATACAAAAAATACAAAAATTAGCTGGGTGTGGTGGTGAGTGCCTGTAATCCCAGTTACTCGGGAGGCTGAGGCAGAAGAACTGCTTGAACCCAGGAGGTGGAGGCTGGAGTGAGCCGAGATTGTGGCACTGCACTCCAGTCTAGGAGACAGAGAGACTCTGTCTCAAAAAAAAAAAAAAAAAAAAAATTATCTTGGCTCAGCCAGGGATGAAACAACTCTAAAAATGAGAATTCTTACATAAAGCTCTGAGTGGTTATGTGCATACTTTGTATGTCTTGGATCTTTATATTTTCCATAATGTTTCATAGCTTACTTTGTAATCAACAATATACATCCTGACTGAAAGACTGAAGGGGAATCTTCCTGTAGTCACAAAACCAGTTTGTGGCTACACTTGTACTTGCCTTCTTTTCATCTGCCACTTTTAAATGAACAATTGATTTCCCACCATCCCAATAAGGCCAAATACTATTTAATTATATTACCGGAATGGGACTAGGGACAGCTGCCACAACGATACCAATAGGTTGAGGAGAAAGGATTGAAGGATTTCCATTAGGAAGATTCGTTACTCCATTGCTTGTAGCACTTTCTGATTTTTTTGCTGCGGATTCTCCTGGCAAAGGGGATTGTAGTTTCTGTTCTTGCTGCTTCTTCTGGATTTTCCGTTGCAACTGCTGTTTAGCATCAATTGGAGATGGCAAAGTCTTCACCTGAGGCTGAAAGGAATTACTTTCAGCTGTTGGTATAAAAGCAGAAGGCTGGGTAATTCCTTTAATTCCTGAAAATAAACAGAAAGGAAAGCTAAAATAAATACTCTCCTTTATAGAAGGCAGGTTCCTTTGAATTTCTTTGAAAATGTAGCCATCTACTGGACAAAGCAACCAAAATTTTAACTCACAATTTCTGTATAAAGCATTAGACTTCGAATTTATAAACAATTGTCAATATAGCTTTGTCATCTTATAATATGGTTCAGCTCAGGTGATAGTTTCAGTTAAATCAACAGGATTTTAAACACAGTAGCTATATTATAAATGTGCAGAAGCTAAGATAAATGCCAACACAGCATTTTTACATTTTCTCAAAGGTCAGTAAATTTCCCTCCCTGATTTCTAATCAGAAATAAATACATGTATTTTCATGATTTTAATATTTAGCCCATGTGGGGCATTCAATAATTCCATACATATTTGCTGAAGCCACTCCCCATAATGGAAAAAATTTATATGGAGAAAACAGTTTTTAATTCTACCAGAAATTCATGGAAATAGGCATTATTATTATATTGCTACTATACAATTATTCCTGTATGACCTAGAAGAAATTAAGAAGCAGAATTTCTTATTAAGACTAACGTTAAGATATTCCAAAAAAGTGTCACTGTGAAAACCTTTAAAACAGTAAGATAAAGACTGAAAAAAACTGACAAAATACGCAAAATACAAATTTTAGGAAAAATGGATTATATAATAAAATGTTTAAAAAGCTCATTTCAGATTTAGGGCATGGCATTGAGATCATTAGAAAGTAAGTTGTGGGCAATAAAAACAATGAAGAGAAGAAAGGGGAGGAACAACTATCCTGCTGGTACACCTTGGCCTTTAAGTCTTTTCTTTTCCCCATCTCAATTTCTGCTTTTCATCATTCTAGTTAACAACAACTACTTGGTGTGGGGAGCAGGAAATAGAGAATGAGGAAGCTATAACTCTCTCCCCACACTTGATAATGATGAGAATCTGTTGAACCCCCAGCCCCTTTTAAAAATCACGATTTTTCCTCTCAAATCCAGCTCGAATTGTTTTGCCCCTTCCCGACCCCAAGCCTCAGCTCTGGCTTCTCAGCACCTGCACCCCGGAGAGCCTCTGCCAATGGCTCACAAATTGGCTGTCTTACCTTCCTGCCAGGGTTTTTAGATAGGAATGAGTTCCAAGCAGCTGACTTACAAAAGGACATTTGTAACACAACCTGTTCTTAATATGGAGACTATATTTATAAAAAGCCAAATTCACCTTCAAAGGATGAAGATTAGTCTACTATCAAAGGTCTTTTTTGAAAAATATAGTAAGGGGCTGAGATCAAAATTTTGAGAGACATTCTAAAAATGTTCTGAGTAATGATAGAGTTGGTAAAGTGTTTACCCTCTCAGGCTGATTGCTTTCAAAAATGGAGTCTCTTTTTTATAAATGTAATTTTTAGTACTTTTGTTTAAAAAACTCACACCTTTATTTAACACTTATGCCTTAAAAATTCATTCATTCAACATTTCCCTCAGTTAGACTTTGCAAATGAGAGAAATAGGAAAGAGATGTTTCTTTTCTCTATGATACCTCCTAAATCCTCCATCTGTTGAAGTTCTCTTCTAGATGTCGGCAGGGATAGGAGAAAGAGAGCAGAGCAAACTGAAGGGTTCGCTCCTTTTAAAGCTTATTCTACCATATGACATTATGACATAATTGAGTGAAGCTGGGCTTTGTAGACAGACAAATCAGGATTCAAATCCTGGCTCTATTACTTACATGCCCATGAACAAGTTAATTGACCTCCCCAAGTCTATAAATTGGGAATAAATATCACCTATCTCACAGAACTGCTGGGGGAATTAAATGAGGTAACATATGTGAGCTATTTAGCTCAATAAGGCTGGTCAAGCATTCTCCTGCTGGTCAGTATAATGAATAAACAGATTTAGGTCATACAGTTTAGATGTAGACAGGAAAAACTATATGACATTATTTTTCTGAAATGGGTCTTCAACTGACCACAAAATGAGAGGTTACACACATATACATCCCACATACTAAATGTAAAATTAGAAGAAAACAGACTCATTATTAATGTGTAAAAGATACTAAACAAACAAGTGAAGTTAATTAAGAGACTATAATTCTGGCCAGGATAAGTCTATCGTAGATTTAAAAATATTTAGAATTAACACTTAGAAGGATAGTCATTGGAAAAATAAGTCTCAGATCACTATATCACTGCATTTTTAATAGACATCATAATTTTCTAGAATAATTTATCCACTCTAGGTTTATAAGGTATAACTGAAATAAGATATTTTAAAAAATTCATCAGAACTGATATTTTACACAACTATTAATTTAGGAGGGAGTCATTCTAACAAGACTGTCAATTCCCAAAACTGTCGATTCCAAAAATTCATCTTTGAATAAAAATAGTCATATGAATGCACAGTAAAAAACATCACTTGTTATTTTATAGTAAGCCTCCGTACAGTGTTTTTTTTTTGAGACTAAGTTACCTGTCACAGTGTGGAAAGATAATTTTATGTATAAGCATTAGTTTTTGGAATAGGAATCTAACAAGTAATTTAAAAATTTAATCGTATTATTTTACTTCTAATATTTATTTAGATACACATATATGTACATATAAAAGTACATATAAACACATTCTATAAATGTAAAAATAGCAATGGAAAAATTAATAACATATCAGCTGGGGAATCTAGTTTTATATGCCAGCAAAGCAATCTATAGAAACATAGCATTAAGCTTTATAATGAAAGGATTATTATTTTCTTGGCTCAACAAACCCATCTGAATTTAGTGTTAAGTGGAGTAAGAGTGAACCCATACAAGTACTAAAAGGATGAAGTTCTTTGATCTAACTCTTCTTTTGCTACCAATTCTAAATACAATAAAACCTGTCAGTTTTTAGCTTGTTCACAGTAATGTCGTACCTGGTGGTGCTGCTGCCATTACAGTTAGAGCTGCCATTGACTTGGTGCCTATATAGTGACTTTTTACAAGGAAGCGGGCTAATTCCAAGACAGTGTCAAATGGTTGGCTTAACACTTTCTGGGCCCACTCACACACAAGACGGCAAGCAGAAGAGATAACTTCTTCATCAATATTTTGAAGCTGCCCAGAAGGTTCAGCTCCTTCCAACTAGGCAAAGAAAAAAGGAAACGTTAACTTGTAAAAGACCAGAGAAATTAAATTGAAGCACGTTAAAGACACGTATTCTTAATTAGAAGATACAATCTAAATCTGTGCGTTAAAGTAGTATGAATTGACCCACTGGCAGACATACAAGAGCTCTGCAAATAAGGGACTCATACCCACTAGTGCACAGCAGTCAGCAGTCTTGCAAATATAACATTTTAAATGGTTTTTAAACATACAAGACTGATATTTTGAATCTTTCTAATGTCAATAAAACTATGCCAATAGTCACATATTTTTTCTAAAATTCCTATAAAACATTACATGATGACTGACTTTTTCCTCTTGACTATACACACATATAGTCAATATATATTTTGGAAATATCGAGAAATCAGTAACTTTGAAACTTTGTTCCCCCAAATTTCATGCTGACATAGGTCATATACACTAACATTTTTCAGTCACTGTGATTTTTGTTTTTTATTATTATTTGTAAAAGGCACAGTTGCTAGCCTTAACCAAATGACACTTTGCAGGATGCATTTTAATGTTGATATAAAGGTTTACTTATTAAAAAGAAAAGGCTGAATTCTTACCCCATCTCCAGTTTTGTGAAAGTCAAGGTTGGGCAGTGTTGGCATATGAACAAAAGCTTTTTTTCTTAGTCCACTGTAGCAATATGTAATATACAGTTAAGGTCCAAATATTCAAAATTAAATGAATTGCTTATACTGGTAACACTTTAGAAGTAACCATATATAAAATGAGAATAAAATCAACATGATATATAACATCTACTTTCTGAATCTTCAGTAAGAAAAACCTTAATATTAAAAACCTGGGACATTTTTACTCTTGTGAAACTGAAATACCCTTTCAGAATGTTAAATACTACTCTCTTAAATGAAAGGATTCTCATCTGTTATAAATTTTATGAATAAATGTTCCTAATATGCTGTGCCAGCCACCAGTAACAAACAGGTCAGAAGGAAAGGAATAGCCAGATGGAAACCTGGCACAGGGAAGGGAAACTTTAGCCCAGGGCACTGGGACAAAAACAACTCTTAATAGTGTCACAAGGGCTTTAACCTTTTCGTTTCTCTTTTTCCACTGAAACATACAGGATTATCACCTGTAACATGCCAAGGACACATCGAAACATTTTTGTTTGCATTTGGGAAGCAAGAATATATCACGCAACAAGTGGTTAGAGAATACCTGGAACCATTTTAGAAAAGTAAGTTTCTTCCCTTCCCCTTCCTCTCTCATCTCCTCCCCTCCATTTTATGCTCTGAAAAAAGGACAAGAGCTAAGGAGGGAGAAAATGGATGTAATCCTAATATGATACAGAGATCCTCTATTTTACAATCTTCTTCTAAAAGGAGAAATAACTATAATGAATTCTTAATTTTCATGTCCTTACTTCTGTTGGCTCCTAAGTATTTCTCCATCACAAGAAGGACCTTTTCTATACTCTGGCTTTAATTTTAACACAGGCTTTAAATGGATGGCTGAAAAATATTTGTACTGAAAGATTAGTGTTTCTGTTAAAGTTCCATAAGTTTTTTTTCTTTTTTTTTTGCCAAGGAGATCCCCTATGTTTATAAATTAAAGGAAGAAAAGATGATAAGCTAGCATCTTCCTCCACTTTTGTTCATATAATTGCTGAACATATAGCAGGCCTCAAAACTTCTTACTGTTAAAGAAGATCAGACCATTAAGAACACTTTACATTGATAGAGTAAGATAAAATCTATCACAATTCTAATCTATGAATAAACCATTATTTGCTATTTCTCTCATAGTGTGATAAATACCTGTGAAAGTTACATTTGCAATTATTCTACTAAATGCTTTTGAGTTGGTTTAATTTGAAGTTTATTTCTAAATAAAGTTGCCAGTTGAACTACAACAACAGATGTTCTATAACAAGTGAGAACATAGAGATATTACTAAAACCATTCTGGTAAAGGATATTTAGATTTGCCTCTTGTGCCCAAACGACGTGCCTTCATGTTTGGAAAGACGTTTTTCATGATCTTTCCAAAATCAGCAGCACTTAATGGATGGTAACCAAGATTGTCACAATAGCTCCTGCAAAAGAAGCAAGGACCAATTTAGAGTGACAGAATTCAGAATTATATTGCGGGGTGCTATTTCAATACAATTTGATCCTTTTGACAAAGTGAAGCAAAGGATCTTTCAAGTCATTTACCACAACATCTGTGATCATCACTCTTTGGTGATGCATGTTAACTCAGGTTTAGTTAGCTGGCTTCACCCTCAGGGTATACAGTCCTACTTTCAATAACATTCACAAATCTTGCAGGAAGATATAATGTTGGTACAAAGTTTTTGAATTACAATCCCAACCAGCGCTCATAAATGAATATATCCAGCTCAGCCAGTAGGACTGTAAGGTTCCACATACGTTTCAGGCTCACATACTGGGATAATTTCCAATATACACATCATGCACATCAGACAGAGATAATACTACTAGATGGTTTAAAATTTAGAAATGTGATATGTTTGAACTAAAAGGGACCCTACGAATACACCAACACTCTCATTTTACTGATAAGAGAAAAAACAGGCACAGGGAGAGGTTCCAAAGGTCCTAGTGTTCTCCTCCTTCCACCCCCACTATCCCTAGTATTGCCAGGAAAAAAGTTACTTTGTAAGACAGTAACTTCAAGTGGGATCAGGAGACACACCAAGTCTTAACTACTACTGGAATCAGGTGTTCTGTTTTTCTCTAGAGCTGCCAATCAGAGGTAAAATGTCAATCCTCTACCAGTTCAGCAGCAGACCAAGGCCACACCTCATTCTGGCCACCAAGGCCTTTGGGAGAACCACTACCTGGGAAATACGAATGAAGAGGAAGCCAGAGTAATTCTCTTTGTCCCCGCCTCACCTCTCATTTAGCATCAACCAGGACAGCTTCTTGATGAAGTCATGCAGAAAAGAAATGAAAACAACTGGAACACATGGTGGGCAGGGTGTAATGGAAACGAGGACTTGGGTCTTTTTGTAGATTGCTGAATGTCCTGATAACATCCCTAAACTGACCTGAGCTCAAGAAGTTAAGTTGGGAGAGACTCAAGAGGAGGCAGAGACCCTTGGGAGCCTTAATACAGAAAGAATAGGGGTAGGTCTGGAGACAATGGTATTTCTCTTGTTTGTTGCTTCCCTATTCCCACAGCAAATCCTCCATACCCCTGGGGGTTAGACGGGAAGGAGTAGCCCAGCAAACACATCACCAACAATGCTATGAGAAGAAAGGGAACTAATGTGTACTGAAAGTTTCCTATACAGGAAGTATTAGCAGCCTTATATTTAAATTGAGACTAAATTTGACACTTTGAGGGCTCAGGGGGTCTTGCAAGGTTGAATGTACAAAGTGAAGAGGTAACTACTTTTGGGTGCTGACAATGGAAATGAGCTGCATCAAATCATAACAATTTCAGAAGCAAGTTAAATTAGTTGTTTATGGTTCAAACTGGCACAAAAAGAAAGTTAGAATGAGGCTCTTTTGCACCTCAGGGACTTGACCCATGTTGGTTCCTCTACCTGGAACATTACTTTTCTTATCTTTAAAGTCTCTGCTTAAATTTTATGATTTTTGAAAGGATCTTTTCCGACTAAAGCAGTGTCCTCATGCCACACCCTCATCATGTTCCCTATCACTGTAATCTGTTTCTTTTCTTCGCATGAGTTACAATTACGTAACAGTGAATTTATTTGTCTTCTCCATCACACTAAGTTCAAGCAGGGCAGTGACCATATCTATTGGATTAACCAGTGTATTCTCAGCACCAGGAACAAGATTTATGGGTCATATGAAGCCCATCTGTATATAAAACTATAATAAACATTAAACAAACACATTAAAAGACTTAAAACAGCAAAGAAGAAACATTGCCCACCCCCCCACCCGCCCCGGCTCCTAGGACAACACTGGCAGAAATGGACCTAAAAAACTGAAATCAAATAAAGAGAGGAAGTGTAATGAGACAGTTGAGAGATAATATATCCATTCTATTCTCCCTCTGTTTCAGATTTTGATTTTTTTTTCATTATATTAGTAAATCAAAATTTTACTTTGGCAGAAGGGGTAAGATAAAGGTTGGCAAAAGAAGTAATGTTAAGTATCATTGACCTAAAGACATAAAATGAGCAAAATTAATATAGTGAGTTTATTTGGGTCAAGGTTGAAGACTGTAGGCTGGGAAATGCTGAAAAGTGCTCCAGAGAATGAAGGAGAGGCTCATGTTTTTAAAGAAAAAAGGACAAATTAGGAGAGGGGACAATTACAAAAGTTGTTTGTCAAGAATTCTCATTGGTGTACAGAAATAACTGATTAGTAATTGGCTATACATTGTTGAACTATAGGGTATGAGTTATGGTGCCTAGCATATGGCATTGTTAGGTTAGTTTAATGGTTACTTGGTGGTGACAGTCTAAAGTCCATACAGCAGACAGATTACTTAGCTCAAGGAGGGGAGTGAGAGACGACTACTTTCACATTTTAATGCCCCCACTGGGCCTGGTAATTTAAAAGAGCTCATGTCCCTCAGATAAAAAGTTTCTTGTCTTTCTTGGTATCTAGATGACCAATGCCAAATTTGTTTTTCAAATACAATTTATATTGTGTGGTTATTTCACAAAATCATCCAATTCCATCTGGTTTTTGATACTTATTCTACCTTTTGGAAGGATAAATTATAACAACCTATTGTCAAATACTCTGGTGGATAAAAGTACTTTGTAGACATATAAATAGCTCAAATTATTTCCTGAATCATGTCAGAAGAAAACCGCCTATGATTCAAAACTTTATGCTTTGATAACTCATGTCAAACAGAAAATAAAGAGGGCATCAATGTAAAAACAAGAACAATATCTAGAATAGATTCTCAATTTCTTTAATTTTGTGAAATGTTAGAATTGAAAAAATAAATCAGAAGTTGTATAGTTCAACTTCCTGGCAGATGTAGAAATGGTCATACTCCTAAATGATGGGTTACCTCAACACGAACACTTCTTTGATGGGGAGGACTCTTTATTGTGAGGTGGCCTATCCAATTTTCAGTGGTTATAATTTTTAAAGAAAAAGAATTTCAATAGGACACCTTTCCCCTGATTTTCTCTGATTTAAAAGAATCAGATATTCAATCATTCTTTTAAAAATCTAATTTAGTATTTACATAACATTTATTCATAATTTTGTGCTATGTAACAAACCATTGGTCATTCCAGGCCACGTGGAGATCTTAGTTAGTTTACATCTCATTTTCTTGCTTAATAACTTTAACTGCAGGTTGACCATGCAAGATACGGTATCAATTAACTCTTAACTCAGCGTCAGATTATACTTATGCAAGACTCAAAAAAGGGTGAGGAACAGAGAATGTTCTGTTCATGCAATCACTAACATTCTAATGTCATTTTAAAAATGAAATAATTGTTTTCTCTTGCTCCTTATTTAAAAGTATGTTTTTAAGCCTGAAATTAAGCCTAATATTCAATATAACTATGAACACATCACTCAAAATCCATGGTAACAATTCAGTCTTTAATATTCATTCATGACACAAATTTAATTGTACAAGTTAAAGGTAAACATTGTTTAATGGTACAAAAATATAAACAATGAATCACAAAAGATTTGTGGTAAAATATAGTCATGGGATACCTAACCATACCTGACATTTTTTGAGAGCTTTCTTTGTGTTAAATCATTTAATCCTCTCAACAACCTTAAGACAGGTAGTTTTATTAAACATATTTTATAGATGAGGAACTTGCACAGAGAGGTGCACTAATCCCTTTAGCAGATGAGGTATTTTTATTATAATTAATAACTATATGCATACTGAATGAATAAAGAATCAAATAGCAATAAAAAATGATGCAGGCGATATCGTCACTGATCCCACAGATAAAACAATAAAAAATGATAATAAAACAATAAAAATGATACAGGGGATATCGCCACTGATCCCACAGAAATACAACTACCATCAGAGAATATGATAAACACCTCTACGCAAATAAACTAGAAAATCTAGAAGAAATGGATAAATTCCTGGACACATACACCCTCCGAAGACTAAACCAGGAAGAAGTCGAATATCTGACTAGACAAATAACAAGTTCTGAAATTAAGGCAGTAATAAATAGCCTACCAACCAAAAAAAGTCCAGGACCAGATGGACTCACAGCCAAATTATACCAGAGGTACAAAGAGGAGCTGGTACCATTCCTTCTGAAACTATTCCAAATAATTGAAAAGGGAGGACTCCTCCCTAACTCATTTTATGAGGCCAGCATCATCCTGATACCAAAGCCTGGCAGAGACACAACAAAAAAACTTCAGGCCAATATCCCTGATGAATATCAATGCAAAAATCCTCAATAAAATACTGGTAAACTGAATCCAGCAGCACATCAAAAAGCTTATCCATCACCATCAAGTCAGCTTCATCCCTAGGAAGCAAGGTTGGTTCAACGTATGCAAATCAATAAATGTCATCTATCACATAAACAGAACCAATGACAAAAACCACATGACTCTCTCAATAGATGCAGAAAAGGCCTTTGAAAAAATTCAATATCCCTTTATGTTAGAAACTCTAAATAAACTAGGTACTGCTGCAACATACCTCAAAATAATAAGAGTTATTTATGACAAACACAGCCAAAATCACACTGAATGGGCAAATGCTGGAAGCATTCCCTTTGAAAACTGGCACAAAACAAGAATGTACTTTTACCACTCCTATTCAACACAGTACTGGAAGTTCTGGCCAGGGCAATCAGGCAAGAGAAAGAAAGGATATTCAAACAGGAAGAGACAAAGTCAAATTGTCTCTCTTTGCAGATGACATGATCCTATATTTAGAAAACCCCATCATCTCAGCCCAAAAACTCTTCAAGCTGATAAGCGACTTCAGCAAAGTCTCAGGATACAAAATCAATGTGCAAAAATCACAAGCATTCCTATACATCAATAACAGACAAGCAGAGAGCCAAATCATGAATGAACTCCCATTCACAAATGCTACAGAGAATAAAATACCTAGGAATAC